CTTCACTGAAGTTGTGAGTGGTAATTTATTCTGTTGATTTTCATACTTCACTGAAGTTGTGAATGGTAATTTTTTCTGTTGATTTTCATACTTCACTGAAGTTGTGAATGGTAATTTATTCTGTTGATTTTCACATTTCACTGAAGTTGTGAGTGGTAATCTATTCTATTGATTTTCATAATTCACTGAAGTTGTGAGTGGTAATTTATTCTGTTGATTTTCATACTCCACTAAAGTTGTGAATGGTGATTTATTCTGTTGATTTTCATACTTACTGAAGTTGTGAGTGGTAATTTATTCTGTTGATTTTCATACTTCACTGAAGTTGTGAGTGGTAATTTGTTCTGTTGATTTTCATACTTCACTGAAGTTGTGAGTGGTAATTTGTTCTGTTGATTTTCATTCTTCACTGAAGTTGTGAGCACATATTTTAGTATTATGTTATTATTATTATTATTCACATTTTTGTTTTACAAGCCTACAGCAAAATCAGTTAGGTATTTTGCACCAAAATCTATTCAGATATACTGTATGAAATGCTGTGAATGTCTGTGACCTATTTATAAAGTTGATTATTTTTCATTAAAAGTTGATTTACATAGCTATAAATACATAATATTTGCGATATTGTTGTGAGCGGCTTACTTTGTATTCAATGCTTTTTAAATGCGTGTTTACATGAAACCTCTGGCACAAAACCACCTGTCTCAGTAAATTGTTGGGTGAAAAAAAAACAGTGCTGTAGTAAAGTTTTAAAAACATGCAAAACTCAACTAAAAGCAAATTGATAAGTGCTTTAGACATGGAATTAAAAATATGGATTTGTAGCTTGAGAAAATGTTTCCTAGTTTGTTTATTTTAAGAGTTCCTTGAAAATAATAATCTTTGCATTTTGATTCAACTTGTTTCTGTATTTTTTTGACAATCTTTTTTCCGCTTTTTAAATTAACAATTTTTAATTATCTTGAAAATATTTATGTTTACAGAAACCTGCAGAGAAAATTATTAATAACTCCAATCATACCTCTGTTTAAAAAATAGTTATATGTAGACAAACTACAAAACATGTCATACTTTTTATAATACTTAGATTATTAGAAGTCCAATAAATTATTCTTAAGTTATTATTACTGCATATTTTTAACAAAAGAATAAACTTTTAACATACTCACTGTACCAGAAAATAGAATTAATAATTAAAATCAGTAACTAGAATTAGCTTATTTTAGATATTAATTTGTTATACTAATTCATGAAGTACTGATTTGTACAACTGCATTCTGTACTTAAGGTGTTTTTGATTTTCTGACTCTCTTATAGGGTGATGGTATATCTTTAAACATCCTGGAGAAAGAATTAGAAACTATCCATTTGATTCAAAAAACCTTCCCTAGTTTAGCATCTGTGCCTGTTGTCAATGAGTAAGCAAATAATTGTGTGCTCTAGTAATAATTATAAATATTCTGTAACATATATATAATTGTAATGTGTAAGTTTCCCTACACGTAAACTTCTTATTCTGCAGTAATACTTAATGGTCAGTCCAGCACTTTAACCTTAAGAAATTGCCATATTGAATAAACCAGTATTAAAAATAGTTTAAAAATTATCAGGCCAAAATTTTCAGTATGTAGAAATTTTAATATGAGTCATGAAATGTTGATTAAAAAATATTACCCTAATTAATAATGCCAGATGAAAACTTGTCAAACTTTATCATAGAGTAGACATAACTGAAATTTTAAACTAAACTGTAGCAATAACACTTTTTAATTTTTGGTGCTGCTACCATACTAAAGTTAAAAAATCCCCTCTTATGTATTTGTCGAGTTAATAATGTGAGTTTAGGTAAAATAAAAAATTCAAATATCTTATTTATTTTTGAGAACAGAATCTTTATAAATGCTAACTAGATATGTTTAACCATTTTTAATCAAAACTGCATTCTTAAAACATAAACTTAAAAGCATTTGCTTAAATTTAGATAAATGCACATATGAATAGGGAAAGTGAGATTTTTAGTTTTTTGAGATTAAGCTAAATACAGTTGTGATCAGTTATATGAAACTTTTAAAAAGTCTGGAATTTCAAAAAATGCTCAATTGTGGTTAGATTTTTTGGAGAAGTATCATCACATATTTCAGTTTCTTTTCAAATTTCTACTGCAGTAATTAGATAGTGAACTTATCAAATGAAAGCAGCATATACTATAAATTTGTGTAGGTTATTCATAGGAAAGCTCAAGAGGATGTAAATACGTTTAGCTAATAGAAGTCCACATCAAAAATCTTTTAATACCTTTTACTGAAGGAAATATTTTTTTATACATGTTTAAAACATTTTCAATTTCCTCAACTGCTCATAAACGAGTCATAAAAGTGTTTTGTCACTATGTTAACCTTTGTTAGCTGTGCAGAATGAACTGAATAAATAACCAAATATTTTCATTTCCGATAAGGTACTCTCCCTCCTCTCACAAGATTAGCTATTCTTGTTTTGTGCTGCCATCTGTAGGCAAACTTCCCAGAAATGCATACAAGCCTTCATCATTCTATTGTTGGAATCCAAGGTTCCAACACGTCGCTTATGCAAATCATCATGCGTCACCTCTTCATCAGTAGGAGAGCACTACTATCACGTGATGCGCGTGACTCCCTCTATGTGCCACTACCGAACTGTCATTTCTTGTTTGGCAGCTGTCGAATTCAGACGTTATTTCTTACATTGTTCAGTTACCTTGAAGTGGTTTATTTTATTATTTTGCAATATTTCTTAACATTATGTACTACACTTCACTTTCTCGTGTTTGCCGCTTTTTCCCGCTTATGAATTCCAAAGTTACAGTCACCACTTCAGGTACTTTACCAGCATCTGATCCTATATTTTCTGGGATGGGTGACACGTCAGGAGATATACTGTCGCTCATTCGCCGGGAGATTGAGAGGTATATGAGCCAACCTCTCTTGCTTTCTTCTGCCCCACTTCCTCCTGAGCCTCTCGAGCTGGGCCAGACTGACGACAACTTTGATCGTTTGTCCCTCCTCCCGGAGCTTGCCACACCTTCCAGTTCACTACATGATGATTCAGCTTGTCTGTCATCATTCTTTTCAAACTTTATCTCTCAGATATGTGATGTTTTGTCTCTTACACCTGTTTCCTGTGACCCTAAACCTTCGCACTCTTATGAAAGAACTTCCCGGCCCTATTTAGCCTTTCCCCTCGTCCCACGATATTTTTGTTCATGAGGACTGATTTGCCTTTCAACTGAGGAGAGCGTTAGTATGCCTCATCCCACACAGACTTCGGGTCAGTCCGACTTTGCTTGTCATTGGATGGACTTTCTTTTTCTCGACCAACAGTTGTTAGGGTTGGTTCTATCGGTTTGGGGAGCGAACCCAGATTACCTTGTCCAACTTACCCAAGCCCAATTTTCTCGCCTTCATATCACACTCAAGACCCTCTTTAGGTACCTTTCCTCCCTTCACCTTCTGTCAAAGGCTCTTCACAGGAACCCTGACGTGTTTTCTGCTGAAATCCTCTCCATACTTACTTCTATGTTAGCTTGTCTGTTGTCTTCGGCTCTCACTTGCTGGGATCTCTTGGGCTGTGATGATGTGGTTTTGGTGTGGACCTGTCTCCAGTCATTGGAGTCGTATGTGGCCTAGGCCCATCAACATTCTACTGTTACTAGCCTGGTAGCTTGTTTGTCGCAGTCGGGGCTGAGCATGGCACCAGTTTCTGTCCCTTGAACTTCCCCTTCCCTACCTCTTCCTGTCACCCTCTGCGGTGCTATGGTTCGATGATTTACTCAATGACTATGTGGTCGGTTCAGGCCCAGTTGGGGCTCGTCTCTTAACTTTTGTTCATCTGTGGACCTTTTCTCGCTGATGTCTGGGTTCACAGAGTGCTCTCAGAGGGATATGTTATCCCCTTTCTCTCCCATTACCTTCCCTTCTCCTCGAGATACTATGATACACCAGCATCTGTCAGAAGTGGTTCAGGACCCCATCGATAAAAGGCTATTGAATCAGCTCCACCAGGTTCATGGGGGTTTTACTGCTGCCAGTTTATGGTTCCCAAGAAGACTGTCATTGATTTATTCCCTCTCAATCAGTATGTTCACACTCCTCCCTTTACCATGGAGGCATACCTTTCTTTTCGGTGGGCAGTTTCTCTAGGTTTTTGAATAACCAAAGTGGGCATTTCCAGCACTTGCTTACTCATTTCTGTGGCAGAGCATTTACGTCCATATCTTCGGTTTGTCCATTGGGGTGTTGTGTACCAGTTTTGCATCATACCTTTTGGCCTAGTCTCAGTACCATATGTATTCTGTCATGTGGTCCACTCTTTTGCTCAGCATATACATGCCATGGGGTTGCACTTCCATGTTTACATGGATCACTGACTTCTTCTTGCTTGTTCTGAATGGGAATTGGCCTGTCATACTCGCCAGCTCCTGGCTGAAGCTGCAAGGGTGGGCTGGTTGGTCAAATTGGAGAAGTCTTTCCTTTGTCCTACCCAATACCTTATCTATTTGGGTGTTTTCTTCAACACCATCTTAGTCTGGCCCAACCTTCTCCTCTCCATATCCATTCTATAGAACTGGCCATTCAGAAAGCCCTGTTAGTTCCCTTATATACAACTTGGGAGGTTCTATTGCTTTTGGGGATGTGGTATTCCATGACCCCTCTCATACCCATAGGCAGGGCCCATATGCACTTTCTTCAATGGGTCCTTCATGATCAATGGAATCTTCCCTCATCCCTTGTAGATGATCTCCATTGGTGGTTGAATAGGGCCCACACATCGAGGAGGTCCTGCTTCCTCCTCTACAGCCAGATTTACATCTTTTCACAGATGCATCTCTTCAGGGCTTGGGTCATTGGTCTGTGGAGGAGAGTTCTCTTCACATCAATGTTCTTGAACTCCTGGCTATTTGGGTTTTGGATCATTTTCTTTCTCTTGCTGGCTGGTTATGATCCATTCTCACAATTCTGTCGTGGTGGCTTATATCAATCACCAAGGTGGCATCAGGTCTAGATCCCTGTGTTTTCACACTATGGATCTTCCTTATTGGGCCCACACACATTGAATTTATTTGATGGCATGTCATGTACAGGGTGCTTTCAATCTTATAGCCAATCGTCTTTCCCAACTGGAGCGTGTTTATCCCATGGCGTTGCCCTGGCATTCTACCGTTTTTGGTGGCTCTGTCTGCATCTGGGTGTGCCCCATATCAATGCCTTTGCCACTGCCCTCAATCACAAATTATCTCCATTTTGGTCCCCCGGTTCCCCATCCTCGAGCCTTAGCTGTCGATGTCTTCAACCAGGATTGGTCTCATCTGTTCCTTTATGTTTACCCTCCCACCCATTTACTTCATTGGGTAGTCTGTCTCATCCATGCCACTCCATGCATGGCCCTTCTGATTGCTCCTTACTGGCCCGCTCAACCTTGATTCCTTCTATTGTTTCATTTCAGGTGGTCCCTCCCCCTCCTATCCTTTCAACCCCAGTCACTAGCACTCCATCTCATGCCATCTGTCTTCTGGAAGTTATGATTTTCCTAAATGAAAATGTATTTCCGATAGGTACTTCTCTTTTCTCATACTTCCCACCCATCCTCCTCATAAAGTTCCGTTGCTCATGTCTTCATGCCAAACTTTGAAATGATTCACATGCATTACGTGATAGTAGTTCTCTCCTATTGGTGGAGAGGTGACATGATGACTTGCATGAGAGACTCGTTGAAACTTTGGATTCCAACAGAGGGATTATGTAGGCTTGCATGCGTTTCTGAAAAGTTCGCCTACAGAGGGTAGCACAAAATGAGAAAAGCTAATCTTGTGAGTGGAGGAAAGTACCTATCAGAAATACATTTTCATTTAGTAAAATTATAACATCTGAAATGTTATAATAACAGACATTTAACACTTGTGTAAAACTGAAACAAAAGTTTAGAATAAGATCTTTCTTCTCATATTACAGTAAAACTTCTCAAATATTTGAACTTGTTGTGTGTGTGTGTGTGTAGACTATTTATCAATAAAATATTTATCCTTCAAAAATGTTCATAAGAATTCACTTGATTGACAGTTTACAGTGAAACTTCTTGCTGTTTACAATTACATCTTAAAAGGAAAAAATGAATAAATAACGAAATTAACTTACCTTTGATTGATTCTTATAACATTTGTACTAAGTGTGAAACTAGTGATTGTTTTAATTATGTGACTTCCATTGGCTGCTGTCTGTTGGTAACCTTCTAATATGGAATTGTATAAAGAAGAGCAACATTGTTTGCATGGAGAAAAGTATCTTCTTTTTTGTAGTTCTAACATATGGCTTAAAGCCAACATATCCTGCTTTCAATGGCATCACAACATCTATTTAAGGAATGGCTGGTGAATTTCTATAGTTAACTATAGGATGTAGAGAA